CGCAACTGAAACCAGAATACATACAAACAAAGGTCCAGCAATGGGAAGTGAGGAGAAAAACTATGCGTGAACAAGTTTTCGCATGTAAACGATATCAAGATTAACGTTCGTGACAGAAATGATTTGTCGCGCGCGTAACTAGAATGGCTGTGTCGGTCTTTGTACGAAGGGCTCGCAATAACTACAGAAAGGATTCCCGATGTAAGAAGGAGGAGGACAAACGCGACGGGAATAAATAGGGACAGGAAAGCGTACTCCCCGACTTCATATAAAACACAACAATCCTCGAGCATTCAACATAAGCAGCTACTTGAATTGGATGAGCCCTGATATTTGTCCTAGTTTTGAGCACCCGACGACAACTGCTTCATTTTGATAACAATAATAATAATGGTATATATTTCTCAACGCATCTGTGAGAAACACGCTCAGATGAGCATGATCAATGCAAAGAACAGTAAAGAACGGATCATGTAAAGAACGGTCAAGTGAGACACCCGTCAAGTTGGAATGCATAGATTCCATTTGGTTAGTTTCATAAAGCGCTGCAATGCTTATCTTGAAGTGTAGCGTGACGAATATACCTTTCAAACCTAACGAGGTTTGTGTGTTTTTATCATATTTGGGCCCCGTGGTCATGCGCTCATTTCTCCCGTCCACCCTGTATGATTTCACTGATTTCAGCGACTTGTTCACGGGTTTGAGGTTGGGGACCCAATTCACCCGGATCCAGTCAGTTTGTCCGTTTCGATATCAGCGGTTTTCTGTTGACCTGAAAGGCAGTCATTAAAAATACGGTGCTGCACCGTTTTTGGTGGTTGCAGAGGCTACAGAAAACACAGTAAAATACTAATCTAACAACTTCTTAAGTAAGTGAGAATCTAATAACACTTTGAAACGGTCCCTAGAAGAGCAGCTAACAACCTTTAATGGAAGGTCGTTCCAGTGGATGATAACTGTAACGTGCGGTCGAAACCAGCAAGCGCGCACAGGTTGAATTTGAATTGTGTGACGGGGCGTGCTGCTGTGTTGTTGACGCCGTTTTAGTTTCCGTTTGTGTAAGTCGTGTGCATGGCTTACTGGGCCTTTGGCTCATGTTTGTGTATTGTTTCCTTTTACAGGATTGTTGTTGGAACCCCTCCTTCGGAAGAACGCTGTCCCCCGGTGTCTCCACGTTGCCCCAAAATCGGTCCGTAAGTGCGACGGACAATCAGAAGTAGAAGCGGCCGGCTTGCATGTTGCATAAGCATGTAAGAGGAGAACTGTTGCCCAATAAATGTCCATGGTCGAAGGCTTATAAAGCTTCTTGTCGTGACCCTTCGACTGTTATCACTACTGGGGTAAAGAATTGCTGCACGAGTCCTGCGCTAAAGAAAAAGTGTGTAAGGATTAAGTCACCGCGGAGTCTTCGAAACTCAAGTGGGTAAAGATCAAGAATTTCAAGACGAGACTCGTAGGAGAAATGCCGCAAGCCAGTGATCATTTAGGTGGACCACTCACTGGACACGTTCGATATCGAGTATGTCCTTCTTCCAAGTCGATATATACGACTTGATGAACATATTCAAGCGATGGTCTTATCTAGACTTCGTACAGCGATCTAAAAGCAAGCCTGGGTATGCGGGTAAATTCTCGCTTTACCATCCCCAGGGTCCCAAATCCCTTTTTGAAGGCTATCTGGTGGTGATAAGGAAAGGAACTCATCGAATCCGTTTCTTTCCAACTTACATACTATTTCATCCCAGGATGTGTCGTTCCTTAAATGATTGTGCCTCACGTTTGCTTGCTAAAGTTGTTGATCAGTTTGCTTATCTGTATGGGGAAGACCAACTGGTTTACGAGGTGCATTGTCCCACTCACGTATCTGATGATTTCAGTGGTCTGGTTCGCTCGGACTAACAGTCTTTGGGACGATTCATTCCGTTATCTGTGGCACACCCGCTGCTTGCTTATACGTAAAGTCAAAGGTCACAGCGGCTACCACGGCTGCGACGTGAACGCAGAAGTGTGTACTATGAGGTGAAGATGCATTTTGTGTGTCTGTGAAATAACTGAGAATGGATTCCAGTTTTCTGAGAAAACTTGACGATGAACGTTATACCGGTTTAGCTACTTTGGCAAAACTGCCTATTAGCATGGCATCACAACTTTCCCTTAACCCCATGCAACAAGCATCCCTCGGTGCTGTTGGGCGCTTGATTCGAAGTTGGCGTCCATCCGATATCATTCGTGATGTCCGCCTTCCAGCAAGAATGCCAAATGCCATTGCTGTTGACAGCGAACGGCAACTGTTCGAAAAACAGATACCAGAATTCCGGACTGACAACAGGGAGCTGAAGGAACTGCTGCGCAAGTAGTCAGACAAGCTCCTGACTCTCAAAGTCATGATGAGCAATGTAATAACCTGTGATAAAGGGAGCACATCGTCGCAATCTCAACCAAAAGTCTCCTGCAGGAATCGCGAAGTGTGTCTTCAGTGGGAGAGTTGGAGAATTCTTTAAACATGAACAATGATCTGGGTTACGAAGAAGTCCACAAAGATTTCGTAAGTGATGCGCACATAGGTTTTATGCTTTCGATTCCTGCAATATTTTAAGCTCAGTCTGTGCAAAAAGGTTTAAACGTGTTGTTAACGCCTCGTATTCCTTTGCGTTTCAGCAGTCATTGCGCTGTCTACTTACTTTCCGTTCAAAGTTATTTGCAGGTTGCTCTGACAATGACATTGATCATTGTTTTCCTTTCGTAGGGTCGCACCCTCGCAGTCGTTCACTGGGGGCGCACAGTTGGGTGCATGCGGAAAATATGAATTATTGTCTTCACTGGCGTTGAAGAAAGACTGACTAGGAACGAACGGAAAGTGCCGCATAAGGGACACAAGCATTTCCAAAGCAATCATGAGTAACAGGTTTTTACCCTAATTCTCCAGAAGGCGCCGTTTTATCTGACCGAGACTGCCCTCAATAAAGCGAGGAAAACATGAAACGTTTCGTCATGGGATGGTTCCACGGTGCAAAAGACAAAGCCGGTGGAAGATCTAAACGCCGACACCCGAAAGCTAATCACAAAATGGTAAAACCCATAAATTAATGAGAGTCAATCCGGAACTGGAGGTCGCAGAGAAAAGCCTGGAGAAGGAAACCAGAAGAAAACATGAGCAAGTATGATGTGTTGTTGACTCTTGAATGAAGCTGGCTGAAGCTAACTCACCGTCTACATGTACCGTTGATTTTGTGACATCTCTTATGGCATGCAGGATGATCAGATAAATCTGGGAAACCGAAAAGGGTTGTATCGAAATGAGGCTTCATGTGTCCTGAAACTACTGTAACCACTGCTTGTACACTCATCAGGGAAACATTCGCCTGAGATTTTCGAAATATTGAGGCCCCATCTGTTACAAATCTTGTCGATTCGTGTTATGACTTCATATGTTGACAACTCTTGGGGCAAAACGCTGACCTGCCGTGGGGATTGATCAGAATCATGGTCTGACGTCAACTGCCACGTAAAAGACTGTAATGCGTTTTATGATGAAAACTGAGTCCCGACTTAGTGAAGCCCTGTCGGTTGCGACTCTTGTTGATTCATGTTGTGACATCTTTTATCTCAGAATGCGATGTTTTATACAATTCTTGTGTCACCCTTTTCACGTTTCTCAATGTTATTCATTTTCCTGTCTTCTTGCCTTCTTTTTCTGTGGCTTTTGGTTTCCAGGCTTCTCTGTATTGTATGCCCACATCAAAGTGCTGAATTCAGAAATACCTCCAGCTTGAAATTAAGTTATTGTTGCTCGCTCGTACTCCTTGGATTTCATGTGTGAATCTTTATTCCGAACTATACAGATGCTTTGATTTCATCACTGTACTTTTCGTTTCGATGTCAATTTCTGTGTGCTCAGTGGTCACGTAACTAAATTTTTTGGTGATATATCCGTCTTAAGGCCAATTCGGAGAGTTATTTGAGGTGACCCTTATTCGTCACTATACCGGCCCGCATAAGGTCATTTTTTAGGTGTTCGATTTGAACGCTTCTTGGCAAAAAGGATCCTGTTTAAGTAGCTTGCCAATTCCTCCCAGATGAGATCGCTGGCTAACGAACACCGATTGCGAGAGCAGTCGGCGAAACCTTCAGATAAAAGTCAGCAATGAGTAAGCATTAGAATACGTGAGATTCGAATCGATTAAGTGGTTAAAGCAAATAACCGGGAATGTGAAATTGTGCCGCAAGCACGACTGGCCTACTCGGATGATACTCTGACCAATTGGTAACCAATCACTACCCGATTCTTAACGACTCTGAAGATAGTCAAGCCGACTCCGGATTTTGTTGCACACCTACTAGGATCTGACACCTTGGACGTATCTGCTGCTCTACGCCGCATTCGACGTGTCCAACATGCTCTCACGAATCTGGGGCCACAGAGTGTTTCAGCAATAGGCTCGCGTGTGTGCGTGAGCCGCCGATTGTGTGTGTGTTTGTGTACACTGATTTCTGACCGAGATCATGTGGCCGAACGCGAGTGAACGAACTCGCAGATAGTGTGGGCACGTGCGAAAGAGTATTGCACAAGCGGTGCGATTGCTCAGTCGGCTGATGCACAGGCGAGTACACATACCAACTGGAACGCGTGTGCGAGTAGTGTGATCCGGTTTGGATAAGAACGGATGCGTATGCGGTTGTGCGTGATGCGTGATGCGCCGGTTTCGGGTGCACACGCGAGCAAACGGTCCGCGGTTCGGGGCGCATATCTGTGCATTCTGTGTGTTTCCTGTTCTCCTGTTGTCCGTGTGTTCTGGAGCAAAAGCGATGCGCTCAGGGACGCGCAAAACCCTCGGAACCCCCGGTATTCCCAGCCGGGGTACTAACCGGGCCCAACGTTGCTTAACTTCGGTGATCGGACGAGAACCGGTGTTTCCAACGTGGTATGGTCGCTACCAACCGCGACGGCAAGTGCATTGCATCAGTGCGTCAGTGTTCTCAGCGTATAGTTTTTGAGCGTGGACGTTACGCACTGATGATGTCACCTCGTTTGGTGATGAAACGTTTGCAACCTAAATGCCAAGCTCGGCGAACATACCAATACCAAAAACGATAAACCCTTTGTTTTGTTTGTACGCCAATCCGTTGAGCCAATCAACTACAGTTACAACCCTCTCTTGTGTTACCGTATTTTGGTCATCTTCATCATTTGGTTGATTTGGTCACCACAGTTGAGACAGACATCATGATATCATTTACCAACCATTTCCAAGAACAACGTTTCGTCGACCAGTATCTGCTTGAAATCCTGCAAACAAAGGGAAATAGTACGAACATCCTATTGGTAGGGAAACTGGGAACATTGTCATGCATCGTCTAGTATGAACTATGTTGGTGTTCATGTTGAAATGCAATGCCAACATTGTACGGTCGTATATTTCCATTTCGATGTTATATTCAAAAAGCCTCAAAATTGAACATTATCAGGCTATAGGATGGCGTACCTCAACTGAAAAGATCCAATAAGCGCAATCATAAGACTTGAAAGTGTGAGCTAACGCCGATAATAGGTTGTTTTTGTGAAAATGGTGGAAATGTTTTTTCATCACCAAACTGGTACTTTTGGCATTAATTCAACGAATTCCAATTATCACACCAGTATTGCTTATTTACAACTGAAAAACTGTTGATATGTTGTCTGAACTTTTGACTTCAACAGTTACAAAAATATTTATAAAACGGGGATAGCGCCAAAATAGCCACTTTCCATTTTGAACGACCTTCAGGTCAAATTCCTACGAAAACCATAGTTGCCCGAAGTTCTCATGTCCTCTGTGAATCCTGCCTTTTCCAGTGAGTGCGTTCAGTCCTTCATTGCCTTTATTGCCGCACCGCAACGATATGTAACAAATAAAATGCTTCGGACGCTTCTTTGGCCAATTTGTCGGCCACATTGCCTTCAAACCTCTTGGCACGTCCTGGTCAAAGCTGCTTATCTCAATTTTCGGAATACTGTTTTCAGGATCCGTCTGCCTAGGAGACCGCTATAACTACTCAACAGGGTCTAGACTATGGGAGGCGTTTCAGAGGCCCATTTTCGCATAGATGGGAAGATGCGACCTTTTGGCGAAGCCCTACATCTGGCGTCATCTGCCAACACAGGTTCGGATTTCGTTGGCATACCGCAACGTCTGTGGAGCATAAGTAGCCTACGAACCAACTCAAGCTTCTCCGCTTTCAAGATAAGCACTTGTTCTAACAACTCATGAGAAAATGTATGATAAACATTCGTCAGAGCATGATTAACCCGATCGGGAAAAACAGCGGTGGATTTGGACGCACTCCATCTATTCTGGTGGAGCCACCACAGTCCCATAACTATCCCAGGGCCGAATACCTGCTTAGCCTTAGAGGCCGCAAACAAGCAATTGTCGCGCCAAACATGATTCTGTTTAAGTTCGGTCCTACCGCTGAGAACGTTCCCAGAAACACTCAATGCATATAGGATCAGTGAATCGTCCGCTAAGTATGAATGTGGATACAGACGGAAACGTCACCATGTGTATGAGCGTCCAGTCGGTTTTCGTTCAAAATAGGGAATGGTTCATTGCGGCAGTCTCGGTCTGCAGAGAGTTGTGGGATCATCCGGTAACACACCGTTGGTCCAGAGGAGCAGGGTCAGCCTCGACAACGCTACGATTATCAAAACTGATGGCTGTTTCCATAATGTCGGACACCATCATTCAAGAAGAATACCGGATATCCATGACAGAAGGACGTTGTTACCCTTCCTCGTTAAAGGGTGGGGCGATCAAGCGCAACTGAAACCAGAATACATACAAA